AAAAAAAAAAAAAAAAAAAAAAGAATTGAAGGCAGGGACTCAAGCAGATATGGGCACACCCATGTTCACTGCAGCATGACTCACAATATCCAAAAGGTGGAAATAACCCAAGTGTCCATCAATGGATGAATGACTAAACACAACATATGTTTATACAATGGAATATCATTCAGCCTTACAAAGAAAAGATACTCTAGGCTAGGCTTGCTGGGTCATGCCTGTAATCTCAAGGCTTTGGGAGGTGGAAAGATTGCTTAAAACCAGGAGTTTAAGGCCTGGAGCACACACCCTGGCTCCCTCCAACTCCCCTGTCTAAACTGCCCCTGACTCAGAGATGATCTGGAAGGCTGTGTTTGGGACTGTTTGTCCCTCCAGGTGGGGCAACCAGAACCTGAAATCAAGAGGGAACCAGCCCTCCTCTCTGCTGGGCCTCAGGCGGATCCATTGGATGAGTGGCCTCTTCAGTTAGAGCGTCCAGGACAGAGACTGGTTGCACCCACTAGGTTAGAAGGTCAACTCATCAGTCCACCCCTGCCCACATCGAGAAGCTATATGCCTTGAAGGGCAGAGGAAGCCCAGGTTATCCACTTTAACCTGGCATTCCCTCATCAGGTCTATCTCCAGTGGTGGTCTAGGATGGAAACAGCTGGTATCCACTAGGAAAGCCTCCCTTGTCAGAACCCCAGGTGAGTAGGTGGCCTCAGGACCGGGGCAGAGGGTGGAGGATGGAAGGCGCAGTTTACTCCTATTCCCACCAGGGGGTGCCCTTAGGCAGCAGGGCAGTAGGTCCCAGTGCCTTGGAGTTCATGGTCATGGACACCCCCTTCTGCCACACCCCCCTGGCTGTCTCACCCTCCCTTCAACCTCACCTGGCTCCAGGATCCCCATGGCCATGTGGTTACACATGAAAAGCCTGCTGGGCCAGCCCAAGAAGCCTTCAAATTGCCCTGGGCTGGTGCTAGCGCCCAAAGCTCCCCCAGGGGCTGGGGCTGGGACTGGGCCAGGGTGGGGGGGGTCTGCCCTACACTGGGGGACGTGCAGCAAGGGGTTCAGGAGTCGCCGTCTGGCGTAGAGAAAGAAGACAGAAGTGCAGCGGCAGTTTTCTGTACAGGAAGTTGGATTATACATTTTAGTAGTGGGCCAGAGAAATGAGGCATGGGGCAAAACAGTGCAGGGGCTACAGGGAGAATAAGAGATCAAGAGCTAAGGTTTGGCGTAAATCTTACAAAGTGTATAAAGAATCTGTGTTTCTCTACAATAACAAAACCAAAGGCTACAAGAGCAGTTGTATATACAAAACACGGAGATATTGCTTCACTTGCAAACAGGCTCCAGACCAGACGGGGAGACAAGACAGAGGAGTAGGGGGCGGACAGGGCTGAAGGGGCGCTGCGTGCAAGAGGAGAGCAAGACAGGGATTGGCTTCTCCCAGCTACAATCTACAGGCGGGGCTGGGGTTGCACGCACAGAGGTGGGAGGCCTGCGTGCTAGCTGTGCGCAGAGGAGCTGGCAGCCAGTAGCTAAGAGCTAAGAGAGTCCACCTGCGCTGGCCCCAGCTGCCTGGCTCTTCTGGTTTCAGCTCCAAGCGAGATTCTGGGTAGGGATGGCTGGCCAATGAGGCCAGCTAGCCAGAGAGGGAGGAAGGCAATCGTTCCTTGGAGTCTGCCGAGGAAAACAGAAGAAGCTGGTCCCATCTGCCCGCCCTCCTTGCCTCTAACTGGGCTTGTCCATCTCGCTGCCCTCCCAGACCGGCAAGATAACTGCCGGGACCCGAGTTGAGTGGGCACAGCAAGCCAGGGCTTCTAGCTTCCCTGCGCAGGATAGGAGGTGCCATTGATTCCTGCCCTTCCTGGGCCCCAGCCGGCTGTGTGGCGCTCACTGAAAGGGCAGGAGCAAGCTGGTCAGAGGGACAATGGGGAGGGGCTGGGAGGACACCGTGGTGGGGGCAGGCCGAGGACGTGCACGCACGCTGGGCGGAGGCTGGGGTGGTCACAGGTTCTGGCAACACTGCAGCTTGTTGGGTTTCTGTCCGTCGGTGGTAGGTGGCACGCTGATGTCCACCACGTTGTTGCCAGGGGACTCGTCGTGGGCTGCACGGTCGGCAATCTGCTTTTGGGACACAATTCTGTAGATCTCTGCCAGAGAAGGGAGGGAGATACCAGGTGAGTGAGTCTCATGACCTGTCTGCCCATGGTAACCACCTCCCTGTAGGACTTTGTGGAGTCTCCCCAGGGGTCCCTAGTATATATATATATCATAGAAACAAAGACAGGGGCCGTGCTCCAGGGGCCACCACCCACCTGCCCATGGTGGGCTATGCACTCAGTAAGGGCAGGACCATCTGGCTATCTGGTAATAGCCAGCCCTACCTCTTGTTCCTTAAGATTAGAGGCTCTCTCCTCCCTCAGTAGTAAACTCCAGGATGCCAAGGGGCTGAGGGCTACGGTAGCACCTGCCTACCCTGCTGGTCCCAGGTGGGTGTTTGGTTGTAGAGCCCAACATGGGCCCACCCACAAGGACTGAGGCAGGGAGGTCTCTGTCCTGCATGCTAGCAAGGCCTGGATGTGGCCTGAGCCTGGAGAGGATGCCATGCCTAGCCTTGGGTCCGGACAAAATAGCAGGTTTAAGAAATGAAGGTTCAGGGGCTGCATTCTGCCCTGAGAGGCTGGTGCCCTTCCCAGGCCCACCCAGGCCCTGTGACCACCTGTGAGGATGTTCTTGAATGCTTCTTCTACGTTGGTGGAATCCAAAGCTGAAGTCTCAATGAAGGACAAGTTGTTCTTTTCTGAAACAGAAAGTACTGCCCAGGTGAGTGAAGAGGTGGGGTTGTATGGTGTCTGGCTCTCCTCCCTCTTTCTTGAGGATGCCACCTGCCCACTTGCCAGGCCCAGGAACGAAAGACCACTCTTGAAGGAGGGGAGTCTGGCACTGTGGCCAGGGGCCCTGGCATTGTGGGGGTGCCTCCTGCTTTCCAGATGCTTCTCTGATGCCTCAGTCTCCACCCTGTTCTCAGGGGCCCAGCTGGACCCACCTGCAAAGGCGCGGGCCTCGTCAGTAGGCACAGCTCGCAGGTGGCGCAGGTCACTCTTGTTGCCCACCAGCATGATGACGATGTTGCTGTCAGCATGGTCCCGAAGCTCCTTCAGCCAGCGCTCCACGTTCTCATAGGTCAGGTGTTTGGCGATGTCATACACCAGCAGGGCACCCACAGCACCACGATAGTACCTGCAGGGCAGGGTCCTGTGAGCTGCTCTGGGCCCGGACACCCTCTGGGCCATGTGCAGCAGCAGCCTCATGGGAAGGCAGCACACACATCATGCACAGGGTCCAGCCAAGGGGTGCCCATTGTGGTCTTAAGGGATGGATGTGATCAGAGGCCCCAGGTCTGCTCCCTAGATCCATCTCTGGAATGTGGGGGCCTGAGGAGGGAGCTAGGGGGAAAAGGAACCAGCAACTGCTCAGAGAAAAGGCCATTGCTGGGCAAAGTACCAAATCCCCGCTCCCTACCCTATGCAGAGCCAGCCACAGGCTGTCGAGGAAATGGATGGACATACACCCACCAGAAAGCTGAAGGAGACAGGGAGGGGGTCTAGGAGACAGCCAAGTGGTACAATGACCGGTGATGGGGAAAGGCTGGGGGCTGGGAGGGGTCCAGAAACAGGCAGCTTGAGTGGGTCCTGATGGCCGGTAGGCCTTAGGGAGGCACTGGAGCCCAGGTCTAGGTAAGAGGACAGAATGAACATGGACAAGGCACGAGCTGCCACACAGAAGGGAGCAGAGGAAGGAGGAAGGCTGCCGGGCAGGGATGGGAGGCCAGGGGATGATACTCAGGGATACCCTAGTGCCCCAGTGTGGCCAGGGCTGGGCACAGTTCTGCTTGAGGATCTCACACCTCCTGAGGGGTCTCTGAGGCTGAGGTGTTACTCCACCCTCCACTCTCATGCCATTGCCTCATCTACCTAACTTGTCCTTCAAGCCCACACACCCATGTCCCCACTCAGCAGGGCCTTAGCTGCCCAACACGCACGCAGAGGTAATGGCGCGGTAGCGCTCCTGGCCGGCTGTGTCCCAGATCTGTGCCTTGATGGTCTTGCCGTCCACCTGGATGCTGCGGGTGGCGAACTCAACTCCAATGGTGCTCTTGCTCTCCAAGTTGAACTCATTGCGGGTAAAGCGCGACAGCAGGTTGCTCTTGCCCACGCCTGAGTCCCCGATGAGCACCACTGATGGAAGAGAGGAGGGAAGGGGAAGATCTGTGAGTCCCCACACACCACCCACAGAAGCTTCCCAGTGGCTCCCTGGGTGCTGTGTGAATGTGGCAGCCAAGGATGCAGAGGAACCCACAGGAACTATGGTCCCTGGTGCAGAAGTGAATGGAAGCTCCTGCCTTCCAGAAATAGCCACTGTGGATGGCACAACACTCCCACCTGTCTCTGGTCCTCAGAACAGGGCTATCCCTGCTGGGGCATAGGGACCTCAGCATTCTAGCAGGAGTGGCTTATGATTCATCAACTCCTAAGCCTCTACCTGCAGCCTGGTGGCTGGGCAGCAGGGTACAGCCCAAGAAAGCTTCAGTACTTGGTGACCTTGGGCAAATCAGTTAACCTCTCTGGGCTGCCTTTTTTGAAAAGTGTGAACAGGAAGGCAGTAATGGCAGCCATTCCAGGAGGAGGAAGTGAGAGCATGTGTCATTGTGACCTAGCCAGCATGTGGGACTCAGGAAGGGACTCGAGTGGCCACGTGTTGCTATTACTGTTGTAGTTTTGGCCAGAATGTGGGAAGTGTTCCTCCAGGTTCTTACCTATGAGGGTCTGGCAGGCAATGAGGAGCTACCCCTTACCCATGCCCAGGCCCTCAACCCTCCACCCAAATGCACATTCAGCTCCACCACAGAGTGTTTGGTGATGAATAAGAAAGTGCCCTCTGGGGTATAGAAAGGACAGAGCATGCCATCAGCTCCTATCAGCCCTGTCCCCTGCCCTGCTGACTTGGTGCAAGGGGAGGGTACACACAGCTACATGCTGCCTTCTGCAGCCCCCACCTGCGAGTTGGCCTCGATGACTGGGGACAGTTTCCACTCAGCCCAGCCCACACCTGCCAGTGCCAAAGCAGCTCACCAAGACACAAAGCCTCACTCAGGAGGGCAGTCGGAGTAACAGGGCTGGGAGGGAGATAAGGGATGTGGGCAACAGTCCCAGCTGAATGCCATCAGAAACAAGAACCCTCTGAGCAGAGCAGCATAGGCTGGTCAGATTGGGGGCATCCCGACCCCCCATAAAGCATTTCCCAACTTTGGAAGCACTGCCTTTGGGATGCCAGCTGCCCAGGCTCTGGGGTGGTAGAGCATACCATGCAGGGGAGACTGATATGTGCATATACACAGGTGTGTGTGTACCCAGGTGCACATGGTATAGATGAAATGACAGGTTGCAGCCAACCAGATGCCCTAGCCAGACAAGGACCTTGGGCCTTGGGACCTGAGAGGGTAGGTCTGCCTGGTGGCTTGATCATCCATGTCCCTGAGGAAGGGGATCCACTGAGGTTTAGGCTTCCCCAGCCTGGGCAGAGATGGGCAGAGCTGGCCCTCTTGAGCTCGAGAAGATGCAGGCAGTCACAGTGAGCGCATGCTGACAGATGACTTGGCTCCACTGGGAATCCTGCCCCAATGAGGGAGCCAGGGTCAGATCTCACCACATCTGCCTCCCATTGGCCACACTGTGATGCTCTGTTAACAAGCTCAGGATTCTTTCTTTAGAAAAGATTACGTCCTGACCTTACTCCCTATTTCAGGCACCTTTTGATTCTCTCCTTTCTAGACTCCCAAACCCCTAAAAGGTGTTCTCTGTACTCACTGACCCCACCTCTGTCTTCTCAGCCCTCAGAACCCAAACTGAAAAATCATTTCCCCACTGAGGTAAGCCTCAGCCCCTGGAGCCCACGCAGCTGATGCCCAATGGCCTCCCTCCTTCCTGCCACTCTTTCTTCTCCTCTCCTGCCTTCAGGGACCCCATGCCCCCATCTCCCCTGTAAGTGATCATTAGACCTGCAAACAGCAGGGAGCCCTAGGATGGGTCCCTCTGTCCAATCTGGTCCCTGGGTGACTCTGTCTGGGCATGAGGCTGCAAATACTGACTGTGGGCTGGCAAATCCTATATGTACCTCTCTCCCCAGAGGCCCAGACTGGTGTGCTCACTACCTCCTCCTCCATGTCTCCTTGAGGGACATAGGCTCCTCAAAAGCAGCACAGCAGAGCTCCAGTCCCTGACTGCTCCCTGACTTGCCCACCCAGCCTCTACCCGCCTTCTCTATTTGCAGGTAATGGCAGCCTTGTCCTTCCAGTGCTCAGGCCAGAAACTGGGAGTCACCCTCTACTCCTCTCTTTCACATCCCAGAGCTGATCTTTCAGCACCTTCAAAACTGAAGGCCGGTCGCAGTGGCTTACTCCTGTAATCCTAGCACTCTGGGAGGCTTAGGTGGGTGGATTGTTGAGCTTAGGAGTTTGAGACCAGCCTGAATAAGAGCAAGACCCCATGTCTATTAAAAATAGAAAAACCAGCCAGATGTGGCAGGCGCCTGTAGTCCCAGCTACTGGGGAGGCTGAGGCAAGAGAATTGCTTAAGTCTAAGTTTGAGGTTGCTGTGAGCTGTGATGCCATGGCACTCTACCGAGAGCGATGCAGTGAGACACCCTGGGGGCTGGAGATCTATTTCTTGATCCATGTGGGGGGTTTGAGTTCAGCTGGTAAAAATTCACTAACTATACACTTGCATATAGTATACTCTCCTGTCTGAATGTAGCTCTGGTGAAAAGTTGTCTGTGTGTCTCTTATTATCTTTGCTGCCCCCAACTTTGGCCAGGCCACCATCCTCTCTCCCTGGGTTACTGTGCCAGCCACCTCCCTGGGGGCCCCATGTTCACTCTCATCCCCAACCAAAAGCCTGTTCTCTCCACAGCAGCCAGAGGATATTAGTGAGCACCTAAGTCTAGTTCCATCCCCACTCTGCCCATAGCCTTCCCTGGTTCCTACTGCCCTTGGGAAAAAGCCCAAGTCCTCCCCACAGATCACAAGGACCTGCACCACCTGCCCTGTCATCTTCCTATCCTCCCCTCCTCCCTCTCTGCCCCTGGATCACTCTCCAGCCACACGGGGATATCCTTGCTATTCCTCCTGCCACAGAGTCTTTGCACAGGCTATACCCTCTGCCTGGAACATTCTTCCCCAGGCACCCACCAAGGATGGACCTTGCTGCCATCCTACTAAAACCCCACCACCCAGCCTTCCTCATCCCTGGCTTTTCTCCCTACTACTAAGGCCACCTCCTCCCTTGCCAGGTTTCATGTGTTTACTTTTTTGCCAGTCTGACCTGTGGGCAAGAATAAGCCCTGGCTTAGTGCCTGGCACAGAATAAGCACCCAACAAATGTCTGTCAAATGAATAAACAAATGCCAAAGTGGGTCGCAGAGCATCTCAGACCTACCCCCTAGACACACACATTTGGAGGGTGCCCAGGTCACCACTCTTGGGCCACAGTGTAGGGAAGATCAGACAGCCCCCACCACCCAGCCCCCACCCTCTTTGGCTGGCTGCTTTTAGAGGCAAGAATAACAAGAACACAAAGAACGTTTAACCAATCTGTGCTGAGGAAGTTCTTGGTGCATCATTTTTTGGAAGCCTCATGTAGCCCATTTTACAGATGAGGAAACTGAAGCACAGAGAGGGAACGACCAGCCCAAGATACACAGGGTGGGAGGGTAGAGAAGGGATCTGCGTATGTTTGCAGGCTGGCTCGCCCTGCCTAACTGTGCCCACCAAGCAACCAGTGACTTGTCCAGGGCCAACTACTTGGGAGGTAGCAGGTCTTCTGGGTCTAGGGCCTAAGCTTTGCTTCTCCCAACTCACCCCCTCACCTGCTGTCCTCCCCCATCCCTCAGCATATGGACGGAGGGTCACATGTGGGACACATGTAAATATTGTTATTCCCATGAAACAGTTTGGGACACTCAACCCAAAGTGTCCAAGTCCCTAGCCCAAGGTCACCCAGTGAGAATGGTGGAGGCTAAGAGCAGGATAAAGGCCAACCAGCCACTGCCCAGGTGAACAGCTGGAAGGCTGTGTTGCCCGGGAAGAGTGCCCAATTCAGAGAGGTAGGCAGTGAGCCAGCAGCTGGGCTCACCTCACATGTAGGCTAAGAATGAACATAGCATTGTTGAGGACACAGAAAACAACCTGTTGTCTTAGGGAAAGAAAAGGCCCTTCAGGACACAGCTTCCAGCATTTCCACAGAAGTTGGTGGCTTCACTGACCAGGAAATGGCCTCCTGGACACACCACTTGACTTGCAGAGCAGGCAAGTCCACTTGGCAAAAACAAACAGCTGGCAGCTCTCAGAGTTCTGGGTGCTCTCATCTGCCCCATGACAGTGTGATGCCCCTGGGGCCCAGACCCTGGCACTGAGTGAGTGGCCATGCAGGGGCTATGTCCTCAGTTCAGGCAGCCCTAGGGCCCCGTCACTCCTCTGAAGTGGCGCTGGTAGGCACTCTTGCCTCAACCATTCTCTGGTGAGAAGTGTTCAGAATTGGGCCACACAAACGGTCCCCATTCTAAACGGAGAAGATAGCATGTCTGGGTCCCCAAACGGCCACTGAACAATAGGCCTGGTGCGGATCTGCCCAGGCTAGAGGGTTGGGAGCTGCCCTGTTCCAATGGATCAGCAGCCACTCCTTGACTGGGGTGGATACAACCTGGAAGACAGGGCCTGGAGCCCCTGCAGCCAGTTTCCCACATGAGCTATGACCCTTGGGGTCAGGGGCTCCAGGGAAGGGCCTAGGAGAGCCTCAGTGGCCGTCGGGGAGACAGCTGCTCCCACGTAGACTCACAGCCCAGTGTCCCTCTGAGGAAAACTCAGGGATACTCCTGGGGCTCATTGGACAGGCTGAGAAAATGGCCCCCATGGCTAAAAGGATAAAATGTTAGGAAGATAAATATGAGTATCTATAATTAGGTACAAATAAATAATCTCATTCCCGGGGGAGGTAGAGACTGTTCAGGGAGAAAAACAAATGTTGCATGAGGGTTCACCCAGAGGATCTGCTGGCCTTGGCCACTGAGGTCAAGAGAGCCAACGGGTGATGTGGCTGCTGAAAAAACAAGGCAGTGGCAAGAGGGTGGCACAGAGGGCAGCCAGTGTCCTAAGCAATGTGGTATGGCCTATCCCTGCCAATAAAACCCAGGGACAGGGAGAATGGCAGAGCAGTGGGGCCAGCTAGGGTAGGGCAGGAGGATCACTATCCTCTCGACTCCAGGTGGCAAGGATGGAGATCCACATGGTGACAAAGTTGGCCCTTGTCAACACTTCTGGTACAGTTGTGACTTGGACATCTCTCTAAGGCCAGCCCATTGTCCTTGTTGGGGGAGGGTGGATAGGCCCAGGGAGGACCCCCTGCAGGCCCTGGGACCTCAGGAGGGAGAAGCTCACAGATGCAATTCATTTGTGCCCCTGCACTCGCATTTCCATTAGCCCACCACATTTATGGCAAGCAATGTGACAGTAGGGGCTGCCTGCTATTTCCCCCTCTCCCTCCCTTTTTTCTTTTTTTGAGACAGAGTCTTACTATGTCACCCTTAGTAGAGTGCTGTAACATCACAGCTCACAGCAACACCAAACTCTTGGGCTTAAGTGATTCTCTTGCCTCAGCCTCCCGAGTAGCTGGGACCATAGATGCCTGCCACAAACACCCAGCTATTTTTTTGTTGCAATTTGGCCAGGGCTGGGTTTGAACTCACCACTCTCAGTATATGGGGTGGGTGCCCTACCCACTGAGACACAGGTGCCGCCCCGGGCTATTGTTTTTTTTTTTTTTCTAGAGATAGAGTCTCACTTTGTCACCCTTGGTAGAGTGCCATGGTGTCATAGCACACAGCAACCTCCAACTCCCCAGCTTAAGGAATTCTCTTGCCTCAGCCTCTCGAGTAGCTGGGACCACAGGCACCTGCCACAATGCCCGGGTATTTTTCTTGTTGCTGTTGTTGCAGTGTTTGGCCAGGTCTGCGTTTGAACCCACCACCCTCAGGCGCCACCACTGGCTATTGTTTGTTGTTGTTGTTGTTGTTGTTTAGCAGGCCCAGGCCGGGTTCAAACTCACCAGCCCCAGTGCATGTGGCTAGCGCCCTAACCACTCACTGAGCTACAGGTGCCAAGCCCCTTCCTTCCTTTTTAATTTACCAGACCGATAAGGAGTGCCCTTTTCTTACTTAACAGAGTGAAAATCTAAGTGGATTTAAAGACAAATTTCTTTCTTTCTTTTCTTCTTTGAGACAGAGCCTAAAGCTGTCCCCCTGGGTAGAGTGCTGTAGCATCACAGCTCACAGCAACCTCCAACTTCTGGGCTCAAGCGAGTCTCTTGCCTCAGTCTCCCAAGAGCTGGGACCACCGGCGCCTGCCACAACGCCTGGCTATTTTTTGGTTGCAGCCATCATTGTTGTTTGGTGGGCCCAGGCTGAATTTGAACCCACCACCTTAGCTGTATGTGGCTGGTGCCTTAGCCACCTGAGCCACAGGTGCCGAACCGACAAATTTCTTTTTGAGACAGAGTTTCACTTTGTCACACTTGGTAGAGTGCTGTGGTGTCAGCTCACAGCAACCTCCAACTCTTAGGCTCAAGCAATTTTCTACCCTAAGCCTCCCAAGTATTGGTGCCCACCACAACACCCAGCTATTTTTAGATGGGGGTCTCGCTCTTTCTCAGGCTGGTCTTTGAACACATGAGCTCAGGAAATCCACCTACCTCAGTCTCCTAGAGTGCTAGGATTACAAGAGTGAGCCATTGTGCTGGGCCTTAAAGAAAAATATTAAAAGAAAAGAGGGGCGTCCTCCGATGAGGTCCTGAGGTCTAAATTATGAAGATCAGACATCAGCTGACCAGTTGGGGAAACGCTGACTTTGTGGGTTAGACTTTTGCTACCAAACAGCTTGAGAGGGTCAGCAGGGCACCTGCTCAACTCAGGGAAAGGAGGCCAGTGGGAGAGGGCAGTGGGGTAGGCGGGCACCCCCCTCCTGCCAGCTGCCCGGTAAGCTAGATCAGTGTTTCCAGGAAGTGGACCCTGGAGACGAGTCCCGGGAACTACATGGCTTCACTGCTACCCCTGACCCAGTAACTGTACTTCTGGGAACACAATTCAAGGAAATAACCCGAAGGTGCAAAAGGATAACTCAGGGAAACTTGGAGCTGGGGTATTTATAATAGTAAAAGGTTGAAAATAACAAGCAGGGAATGACCACAGAATCCTGGATTTGGCACTTGGGGAGAAGTGCCTTCTGCCCTGGCAGTCTCACCTATGGGCAGGTGCTCAGACACAACCTACCAGCAGCTATCCCAGGGTGGAGTGACTGGAGATGGCACTGGCTGCAACAGGACCAGAATCTGCTCCCCCTGTCACCAGAGGGGGCTGTTTGGATCTTACACAGCTTTCCTTGGCTGCTATGGTGGGATCTTGGACCTGACACCTGCCAACCACCCAGTCTCACCTGTGTTGACATTATATACCTGCTTGTGGTAGCCAGAGTCCACAGTGCAGCGGGCCAACTCTAAGCCTTTGCAAAGGTACTCCCTCTCCCTCTGCCTGGAAGCCTTTTGCCAATGGATAACTCAGGTAGGGAGACTTCTGCTCCACTCTCCACAACTCCAAGATGCTCAAGGTTCAAGCAAGACCAGTCTGAACATAGAGCACACTCTCAGAGATGGCCGGCTCTCTCAATGAGGTAAAGACACCAACAGGTAGCAGAGGAGGTAGGCCCTCACAGAGCAGGGCAAAGGATCCCGGCATGGGCCCAGAGGTTAGCTCTCAAAAACTGCTATTGTGAGGCAGGGAGCCCAGCTTGGACAGTACAAGGCCTGGCAGAAGGCCAGCTTGGCACAGAAAGTACTGTAAACCCAGTGACCCCTAAATCAGCCCACCTCAGAAACAAGGGACTCCAGCAACGTGAAGGGAGTAAGTATACCCAGCCTGAGAGGCAGGATGAGGGATTTTCCCAGTTGGTGCCAAACCTGTAAAGGCCTGATCTGCCTAGGCCTTACTTAATGGTCCTAGAACCCTTAGTCCCTTGGGTAGGAAAGATCTCCAACAAGATGGCTGGAGTCCCAGCCATCAGAATGCATGTGTTGCGGGGAGATGGTTTGACAACTCCAAGTCCCAGATCTTGGCAGCAAGGCCCCCAATACCTATGCCCAAAGTGATAAGGCTCACAGCTAGCTTGGATTCTTAACTATGTCCTTGTTTCTCTGGGCCTCAAAATCGTACTCTGTAAAAAGAGAGGCTGGATAATATCCACCTTCCAGGGGTGTGGCGAGGATTTAATGAGTTTTTGCGGGTAAAGTGCTCAGAAAAGGGTTACTACTATTAAGAGTCCTAGGAGTTAAGAGACAGAACTGTTGCCGCTCACACAGGTGCTCCTACACGCAATTCCGGCTCGGCACCCCAATCCAAGACTTCCCACCTGCAAACACACCCCTCTCTCCCACCTTGACCAAGCCCCTATAGTGGCCCCGCCCCTCCAAGGGTTCGCCTCTAGGCGAGCTGCACCCAATCCGGCCAGGCTTTGCGAAAGCCCCCGCCCCCACCTCTCCAAGTCCAACCCACTGATTGGACACGCCTATCCGCCCTGGCTCCGCCTCCACGCCGAATAGATCTTTCCACCTAGTTCGACCCGCCAAATCCAGGAAAGCCGTGCGCCTCTCGAGGCCCCGCCCCTAACGGCCTCGCCCACCGCTCCGGGCTCCACCCACTCTGGGCCCCGGCCCCGCCCCGCCGCATCCTAGGCCCCCAAGCCTCCCTGGGCCATCAGCTCCGCATGGCCGCACACCCTGGCCCAAAGCTGAAGAAACCCAGCCTGTCCCGATCTTCCTGACATACCAGGCCCTAATCTCCAGGCTTCGGCCTAGGCTTAGCGGCCTGGAGCACAGCCTCGGCCTGCTATCTCGCAGCCGCACCCTCGCCCATCTATGTGCCATCGCTCGCACCTTTGAATAGGTAGTCATATTCGTCGTCCCGGGTCCCCATTGTCCTGGCGCTTCCGGCGGGATCGGCAACTCCGCAGCCCCACCACAAATACCCGACGGGGGCGGAGTCGACGCCGCGCAGAGCGGCGGTCATAAGGCCAATTAGCGGTGGGTGGTATAGCGACTGGCATCCAAAGCAGCCAATCAGTGGTGAAAGCAGAGCCCCGGGGTGGGTGCTGCCTAGGATCCACCCTCCTCGCTCTCGGTGTCCCGAAGAAAGGCGGAAGGAATGCGGTCCTTTCTGAAGTGACGGGCGCGCCAACCTATCAGAAGAGACCTCAGGAAGGCGGGGCGGAAGACTGGAGGAATGAAACAGATTGACGAAGCAAGGAGCCAATGAAAGGCTTGATTCGTACCCGACCCAACTACCAGAGGACCGGTCGCGGAAGAAAAATGAATTTGCGTCCAGGTGATGGTTACGCTTCTCAACGTTCCAATGACGTCATAGGTCACTGCGCCCAGCGCTGGCCTCTCCCCTTAGCCCATAGATGACCATTTCCGGGGTCCTTTTGGGGGCGACTCTTCTCTTGGTTGTGGTTTCCGTCCTTACGTTGGTGATACATTTGTCAATATGTTACCCCATGTGCCTTAGTTTCCTCCCCTCTAGACAGGGAAGGAACCCACCTCATGGAATCATTTGAGACCAACTAGATCATTTACTTAAACATAGTGAATCAGTTGGCCACTCTCTGCCATGAAGTTTTTGTGTAACAAATATTGATAAATCCTTACTGGGCACCAAGCGCTCTCCAGCATGACGTCTGTCCCCACTTTGTTCCTGTACCCTGTTTTATTACTCCCGTACGTAGGATTTACCACTACCTGACATTAAAGTTTGTGTTTATTTTATACATTTAACGTATACAACATGATATGTTTTATTTTTGTCTTTTTTTTTTTT